TGGTTGTATGCATTGTATATGTATTGTTATATATGGTATTTTGGGGAACTCACTAAGCATTGGGCTTACAGTTGGTTATTTAAATGATTTCAGGTGCTTATTTAAATCGTGAGAAGAACAAGGCTTGACTGTACACACGCATTGGCATCATGTTCTGAGATTTCTGCATATTCTATTTTATACTATGATTTGAATATTTGAGTTTTGATTATCAAACTATGGTTTACTTTATGAATGAATAAATGTTTGAATGGAATATTATCTTTTAAAAATGAAAATTTTGGTATAAAAACGTGACGTTACAAGTTGATATCAGAGCCCTGGTTTGAGGATTTGGATGAACACCCGTGTGATTCGAAACTCAAACTAAAGGATCTGAGTACTTTTACAAACATTTGGAAAATGTTTTATACAAAAAAAAATTACAAAAATTTTTAGAAAACAGTCTTATACATACCATTTTAGAAAAGAAAGATTTTACAAACCTTTTTAAAAAAGAAGTTTGTGCAAAAGGGAAAGGATGTGGTGCGTACAGTCAGCTGGAGCTCAAAAAGGAAAGTGGTTCCCAAAATATTCATACTTGCTATATATTGATATATGAACTTTTAGAAATGCATGCTAGTATGTAGGCTAAGGATCTTTCAAGAATTGCAGGTTAGGATTGTCTGATACTTAAGATGCCTTGTAGCCTAGGGATTGCTTGTTATGTGTTGCTTGGAACTTATATTGATATTAGTTAACTATTAGGCGAATACGTTAGGTTGCATGCTCCTAAAATTAAATAGTTTTAGAATGCTTGATTTGGCTCTATTGTGCAACTCTTGTTTGAGTCCAGTTGTTGTAGGGTAGTATCTTTCAGTCGAAAGATTGTCTAATTTGACTGGCTTGTAATTATATTCGTCAGATAGTTAGTTGACATTAGTAGAAATTTCTTCCTCGGCTGATAGCAGGGTGAGGTAGGATTCCTAGTGACGTAGGAAAGTGATAGAATATGCTAGTTTAGGCATATGCATTGGAGGAATCCTAGAATAAGAGTCTAGAAAATTTAGTATGTGCTTGGTAAAGCATATAGTTATGGGTTGGGGTGCCTAGTAGAGACACGAAAATCCTAGTTGAGCTAGGAAGATCTATTGTATGTGCTCATTTAGATACATACATGTATCTTTAGTGGTAGTCATGTTTAGTGCCTTGGGTAAGTAACTTAGAAACTTCGGTGCAATTCTTGGAACGAGTACGGGTAGGTATGAAAGGTAGTATAGGCATGTACTACCGCAAGCACATGATACGTACTTGAATCAGAATAAGTCACAAATTACTAAGGCACTAATGGATGGGTAGATAGTGTGGATAGCACTATGTATTGTATAGTATATAAGTCGATGAACCAAGAGGGAACGACCCTATAATAGGTGTGAGTGCTTCATGCTTGCATGAAGTGATTGTTTCAGGGGTCTCGCAGAGCATATGCGAAGTGATGTCGGATATTCTTACAATGATTAGGGAGGAACTAGCTATACTACCCAACGAGATGTTGTCAGAAAATGAATCAAGTGTTTAGCACACAGTGGATTTTGGAGATGGAAGGTTCTTTTCATGTTAGCTTTTTACCGGGGGAGGAAAGAGTGAACCTCTTACGAGACTCTACAAAGGATTTGTGGGACTGGATTATTCAATCAGTTGCAGTAGTTGAGATGGAGACAATGACATGTGTGACAACCCAATTTTCATAAAAATTTTAAACTTTTATTTTCATAATATCAACCATAGTAAATATAAAAATCCCATTACATATCCATGTTATTTTGAAAATTCAAAGTACAAAGGACCAAAAATGAAAACACCGGAGAATGCATGCCTCGTCATCAAGCCGGACCCTTGCCCTTATCACTAGAAACATACAAATAAACTGTAAGCACAAGCTTAGTGAGTTTCCCAGTCATACAAAACATATAAACACATAATGTTATGCTCATACTTATACATACAAATTTCCATGGACTCCCTCCATGGTCTTCAATGGAATGTCATGGGCTACCCCCATGGTCTTATATCCGTATGCCATGGGCTCCCCCATGGTATTGACGAATGTCATGGGCTCCCCCATGGTCTTCACATAAACTCATGCATAAACCAAATACCATATCATTTCCCATTCACTACAAACATATCATATCAATTATGGGTTGGCCTTGGTGCCTTCGACCCATGAGTGTGATAAGAAGACTCACCTCAAATACTGACATAAGCTGAATAGTCCCTAGCTCCGAGTATGTACTCTACTCAATCCCTAAATATAAAGAACTCTTTAGATTCAAAACAATACTCCAAACCCTAAGAGTCAACATTAGTCAAAGACAAAGTCAAGGTCAACATTCCGAGTTGACTCAACTCGTCGAGTTTGGCTATCAACTCGTTGCGTTCCCTTGTTGACTGGCCGGATCGCGAAAAGTCCCACCAACTCATCGAGTTCACTCATGAACTCGTCGAGTTGGCCAAAAAACCCACTTCTTAATGCATTAAGTCGTTGCCTTTGAATCCAGGGACTCCAAACCTCAAATCCCTTTCAAAATGATGTCTAGAAGGGTATGTAGCCAATAAACTACCACTACATGCTGAACCATCACTCTTAAGTTGATTGGCTACATATTCCAACTTTACCCTCAAGGACCATCCATAAAGCTTCAAACTCAAACCCTTGGTCCTTTTAAGAGGGTCTTGACCCATTAAGCCCTTAAACTCTCACTCCAATGTTCCAAAACACAGATCTGATGTCCCAAGGTAGGAAAAACACGTAAAGTTGGATTCCAACTTTACGTCCATGAATGCTAGAAATATCCTTTAAGGCTCATTTATGACTTTATAATGGACATATTGCATGAATGGGACATAGGGACCAATAAATTTTGCAACTTTAAGCTTCAAGAGATCATGAAGGGGTCAGATCTAGCTTGACAACCCCTGGAACCCACATCTTTTGGACAACTCAACCAAAACCCCCCAAAATCATGCTTAAACTTCAAATAAGAAGATCTAGATAAATACATGACAAGGTGACGACTTTATACCTCAAAAATGTTGTCTTTGAAGAAGAGTTTCTGGATCTAAAGCCCCTCCTTCAAGCTTGATGCTTCCCACCTTCAAACTCCTTTCAAGAATCACCAAAAACCACTCTTTTAAGCTCACCACACTCAAGATGCAAGATGGAAAACGAATCTAGGGTTTCTCTGGATAGGGAGGCTGGTAGGGAGGCCAGCCAAGGGAGGTTAAGTCATTTATATAGGGTGCAACACCCGAAATTAGGGTTTCATCTCTGGCCGTCAACTCGTCGAGTTGGGGCTCCCTAACTCGTCGAGTTGGACCATTAAATTCCACGGCCAAATAGATTCCTACACGACGAGTTGGAGCTCCCCAACTCGTCGAGTTCCATCCCAAATCCTTAAAAACATGCTGAGAAATGACTGATACCTGGACCAAGCGTTACAACATGGAAAAAGTTTACGGCTCGATTCGGAGAATGGTATGATCCGGCAAACAAAAAGGGTGGTGTCAGCGATGGTTATCTTCGACAAACAAAAATGGTGGATTTTCTTTTCATCCGGGTGGTGGTGGTGGTATTTGCTTTTTCTGAAGTTTAGAAGGAAGAAGGGTGGCGTTCATGCGAAAACGATGTTCCGACGAGGGTTTTCAGATCGACGTTCCAGTAGGTGGTGGTGGTTCATAATTTTCTGGCGGAGTTCAGCAAACACGTTACAAAGGCAGCGAAGTTCAAATCGACACAGAGACTCCGACGACAACGTTCAGATTTATGTCGTCATCAGCGACGTTGTAGATGCGACTGAACGTTGAAGATCTGGTGTCGGATGTTCAGATCTATGTCATCAGTGGTGGTTTGGATGGTGCGGCGAAAAGGGGCATCTCTGGTGAATAGGGTGGTCTATTAGGCTGAGAGGTTGGTAGATGGTTCAGCATGTAGTGGTAGTGGTTCGACAGTAATGGAGAGAGAGAGAGAGAGAGAGAGAGAGAGAGAGAATATGTAGCCAATGAACTTAAGAGTGAGTGGTGGGTGGTGGGTTAGTAGGAAGTGGGGGTAAATATTTGTTTTTTGTTTTTCTTTTAATTATAAAAATATTAAAATAAATAATAAAATACCAATGGCAAACTCGTCATTAAAAAAAGAAAAATAAACTTGATCAAACTCGCAACAAAATCAAAGTGTTTGACTGATGGTGCTAATCCAAAACTTTTTGGACAAAATTGGCAAAATTTTCGATAAACCACAGGGACCATTTTTGAAATTTTGTTGTTTTTATACAATTTATGATGTTTCGTTATTAGGGTTGTTTTTAATTTGATGGTATGTTGATGTAGAAAATGAGACCAATAACTATAATTTTCTGGATAAGTTTAATGTCATCAGGTGTCTTGTCCTTTGAATAGGACATGTCAAGAACAACTCCACTGCAAATGCAATTCTCATCTATGCCATTCTAGGCTTCCTTCTTCAATGGTCCGGAGGTTTAGCTATCGGGTGAGTCAAAAATAAAAATCTTTTCTACCAACTCACATCACATACAATAAATCCAAAAAATGAGTCTAGCTGTCTAGCTCATAGTAAGGCCGGTAGGTGTGGATGTGGTAAGGGTTGCGGTTTTCCACTTCAGCCATGGCAAACTCTCTCTCTCTCTCTCTCTCTCTCTCTCTCTCTCAATTCTTGTCCATGCTTTAAAAATAGATACACCACTATCCTATGTGGAACTAAAGTGAAGAGTCTTTGCCATAGTAGAAGCATATCTTAACCTATTGATTTTGTTGGTATTGTAACACATTGTGCTACAAATCAAGCTTTTTTCAAGCTTGAAGGTGCTCTGAAGAGCTACATTGGCAAGTAGAAGCTATGTCAATTCAAGACATGTGTGGTCCTTCTTGGTGGGTATTTAAATGGTGTTGGTTAGATTGCAATAAATATGTGGGATGTGAGTAACATGTAGGAAAAGAAAAAGCAACAAGATATTATTATATTATGACCTTCCAAACGAAAGAAAAGAAAATGAAGAAGATTTTGATGGTAATGGTGGGTGTGTATCATAAATCCCGGGTGACAAGTTGTAAATTTTCAGTCTATATCGAACATGGTCTAGTCTAAAGTCTAAAGTCTAAACACAGCAGGCAGGGAATTTTTGTATATATACACTCAAGTCAGTCTTAGTCGAATCATCATCATCATCATCCCCCCAAAATATAATATTCTATTTTCCAAAAATAAACCTGAATATGATGAAATAATAAAAGCTGGGCTAGGGCTAGGGGATCATCCATCAACTTGTCTGTCTCTATCTCTGTGCAGTGGCAGTGACGTGCTGTTGTTCCAGTTATGCTGAGGTGGTGGTGGTTCAATTGTATTTGTAGCAGCAGCAGCAGTAGTAGACTGAGATTGATACATCAGTGGAAGTGGTATCCCTGGCTGTAGCTGTACATTACAAGTAGAAGTAGTAGGTTGATATTGATATATGCCACCACCACCACCCAGTCCATGTCCATGTCCTTGAGCTTGAGGAACAAAGTTGTAAAAATAATTCGGCACTACCTCTCTACCCCAAACTTCACCCTGTATCTGTATGTAAACATAATAACCAAACCACTGTTAATTCTTGCTTGATTAATAATAATAATAATAATAATAATAATAAAAGGTTTTGTTATATTTTAATAACCAACAATAAACTGTATCAGTCACTTTTTTTCCATTAAAGTGACAAATAAATCCAGAAAAAGACATGAACAACCTGTTGAAGTGGTGGTTGAAGGTTGTTATCTTTTTGTTGAGATTGAGAAACAGTAACATTTTCATCATTACTTCCTTGTTTGAGCTGAGGAACAGGGAATTTGATCCCTGTAGCTGGTGCTGGTGTTGATGTAGGTGGTGGTTGGTGAGTAGGGAATACACCATGAGCATGAGCATGGTTGAACAAGTGAGCATTTTGTGGTAAATAAAAATGTGGGAAATAAGGATTATAAGGGATATAACTTGGAAATACTTGTCTGAAATAGGGAAAAACAGGAGGAGGAGGAGGAGGTGGTGGTGGTGGGGACAATGATATTGCTACTCCTACTCCTACTGTTGCAGATTGTGTTGCAGGAGTTTGACCTACTCCGGATGTAACCACAGAGCCCCCACTCCCACTCTGACTCTGCATGCATGGAAACCAACTATATCCGTTCAGTAAGTTGCCAGGTAACAAAATTTCATGTTTACACCCAATCTAAAAGACCTAATTTCAGATAGCTTAGCCAATGTCATTAAAACATTGGAATAAACCGGCTAAAAAAGGTTCAGCTCAACATTTGAAATTGAAATTCCAAATCCATGTTTAGTGCTATTAATTAGATAGTTTGTTTTGTTGTTTTTGTTGCATATCTATGTCATTAAATAACCACAAAGGTGAAAAGCCACTTGCCTGGAGCTCAGGTACATCAACATGTACATAATGTGGGCCCGGGCCCATCAGATGTGGCATATAACCAAAACTGTAGTCCCTTTGAACAATTGGATTCTGAAATCCTCCTCCTAATCCTAATGGAGGCATCATCTCCACCTCCACCTTTTTTGTCTCATCATGTTTTAAAGCAGGATCAGATGAGATCTCATCTTTTTTTAAAGAAGAAGCTTCTGGGACAACATCCAAACTTCCAAATGTGAACTGACTTTTAAATTTTTCAGGTACTTGGAGATGATCAGGGAAAATAACAGCCTGATAGCTTGACTTTTCTACACCCACATCAGCAGATACCTTCAACTCTGATTTTTCTTCAGGGATCCAATGTGTATGCTCACAGCCATTCACTGTAACAAAGTTATAACAGCAGTCAGATTGTCAGATTCTTATATATGGCTTACCCATGTCAATAATTTGTAAACTATTTTAGTTTGTTATTTATCATTTTTTGTGTTTCAGATTCCTCTAGTTATGATTTTTGTATCTTTTTATATGAACCTCAAAACTAATAAATATATTTGCAATTCAGACAAAAAGAGATGTTCACTTTACTTTTCCTCAAAACTTCTACTTCTTTCTAGCTATTTATTGGAGTAAATTAAGAAATCTTCTCTGTGCTATGTCCACAATTACTAATTGGGTCCCTTGCAAGAATTGTTAACCTTTTTCGTCCCTAAGGTTTCATTTTGTTGCACAAATTGTCCCCAATCCATGTAAAACTGCTATTATTCTAACCTTATCTCATATTTTTAACTTTCTTTACTATTTGTAAAATTATTTGTTCCCCTTCACACCTTCCCCCTCTCATGCCCATGCAATAAATAATTCTACAAATAATAGATGAATGATAGATATACATATTAAAATATAAAATAATGGTATTATAGTCATTTTACATCGTTTAGGGACAATTTCTGCAACAAAATGAAACCATGGGAAGGAGAAAGGTTGAAACTTCTCACAAGGAACCCAATCTGTAACTTTAGACATACCCTTCAGGGACTTATTCTATTCACTAATTGTGATTTTGTTAACTAGGCATTAAAACAGTTGGGTTACTACTGATTTTGTTTTGTTATCCAGTGGGACCCAACATCAAGTAAGCAAATTCAAATTTCAGCTTAATACTATCTGAAACTATATGATTCATGTTTACACCCAGTTCAAAATATATATTACCATACATATTTAGCATGAATTTTTAAAGAAAAAAATTGGAAACACCATCAAGGAATAAAAAGCTACTCAGCCAAGAATATTACCTTTTACAGGCTCATGTAATAATTGAGGAGGCTGGTTATCCTGATTGGGATTGACAGTCGATAAAGAAAGAGGCTTCAGAGACTCAGAGATCTCAATTTTTTCAACTACATCAGACTTTAGTTGTCTTGCATTGTCAGAATCTGCAGCTTCTACAATGACCGGAATGGAATCAGCACTGACCTTAATTCCAGTTCCAGCTGGAAGTCTGGAATTTGATTTAGTAGAGCCACTGTGTTTTACAATCTCACATTGTATAGTACCAACAGCACACGTTTTCTTAGAGGAAACCACAACAGTATCTGAAGTAGAAGATGATTCAGGTGCAACCTTATCACTGTAGCTCCCATTAGATACCGCCAATGTACCATTGCCATTTGCAACAGAACTGCAAAAACAGTAAAGACAATTACAATTTACAACTGCAAATGTATCAAAAGTAACAACAAATAGGTGCAGGGGATGAAATTTACTTTGACACATGTGCACCATTGTTTACTTTTACAGAATCAACTGGAATGATCGGCCTTGAAACCCTCTATTCCTTCCCTGAACTCAAATTTCTCCGCCATTGATTACCCTGTGTCCGTTTATAATCTTCAGATGCATCACTGCTTATCTGAATAAAATAGCAGAAACAACTTAATGAGTTGTCGTTTCATCAAGAAAACTACAAGGTTTTTTGTATTGAAAGCCCAATCAATTGCATAACTTACAGATTTACGCCGATCATGTTTCTTTTTAACTTCATGAAAAGTATCTGCAAAGTCAAAGCAATAAGTCAATAACTATAACTTTCAGCAAAATAAGCAAGTCAAAAGTCTCACAATATAGAACATCGAATACAACTAGTTTATAAGTACTTAAACAGGTTATGAATGAAATGATTGAAAACACAATGCAGTGCGGATAGGTCCAAAACTGCCTATCGATCAAATATAAGAACCCTGATTCAGGTGCATACGTTGAAACAGACACTACAATAGTAATTATGTTGCTTCTATCTTAGACATGCAAACAGTTACTGAAAGAAAGATAAAACAGTCTGTTAGGGTTTTTTTACCGATATATAAGAGCCTCTGAGCAGCTTCGTTAGGATCCATGTTGCAGTCTTTGAGCATTGTGTAAACATCCTCTACGTTGTGCTTCCCAGCAATCTCTATGATATCATGAATCATCTTCAATCTCCGGCTAGCTTCCTTAGGATCCATATCACAGTCTTTGAGCGTTGTGTACACGAACTCATCGCTGTGCTTGGATCCTATGGTCTTTTTGATTTCTTGAATTACCTTCCGAGCGTTGTGCGGAATCGAAACCCTAGTGACGCCGCCGCCACCGCCGCCGCTCATGGTGAAAAAGCGAGGCCAACAAGGCGCTCGTAGGAGAGAGGGAAATAATGGGCGACTGAAAGGGGAATGATATTGGGCGGATTGGCGGTTTTGCCTGAATCAAAACTGCCTCCGAAAAGGGTAATAATATCTTCTAAGATCCTGAATTTATGAATATTTATCATACGAAATCAAACTTACAATCCTCCCCTAATACAAAACATGTAATCAATTTAATTGGTCTTCCAAGATGTTTATAAAAAAAAATAGGGATATTAATAAAATTAAGCTTAGATAAGTTTTTGTGTTTTGTTAAATGATTAATTTGTTCGGAATGAGTATAATTTGAACTATATAATTTTTTCTAACAATACGTGTAGGCATATGTATTAAATTAGAATTAAAAAAACTATTGTGATTAGTTGGTTTGTTTTCACGTATTGTTGAGATGTTTTAATATCTTTATGATGTGCTTATAAAAATTTGATGTTTTCTAATATAAATTTTTAATTCAACTCTTTGAAGATAGTTTTTGACTAAGTCAAAGCCTGACTGGATTTATATCTGACTGAAACGATGTTGTTTGATTATACGTCTGATGACTATTGAAAATGAACATTTCACCCTTATATTCTATTGTTTTTAGTGGTATGACAAAAAAACCAAAAAAGTACATTGTCATTTAGTATATGTTTTAAAAAGAACCTAACCAACAAACTAAAGTACATCATGTGTGGAAAAAAAATACATTGCATTTTTAATAGCTTTTTGAGTAAATTACACGATTCGTCCCTCGTACAAGTGCCAAAATGCACGTTCAGTTCTTATTTTCAAAAATTAACTCGAACCGCCCTTAAATCGTAAAAGGTTTCACGATTCATCACTCTTTAGTTTAAATTTGTATGTTTCATCCCTTATGAGACATGTAATGACTATAATGCTCTTTTCAATTTCTTTTTCATTTATTTTTACATTTCTAATTATTGTTAATTATTAAAAAAATCTTTTAATCATTTACAGGAAATCTCTCTCTCTCTCTCTATCTCTCTCTATCTCTATCTATCTATCTATCTATCTCTCTGGTGAAGAACACTTAATCACCACCACCACCACCATTGGAAATATGAAAAATCACCACCTGAAATCAACCACCAGTCAACATGTCTGTCCACCTCTAGCAACCACTATCACTAACCACTAGTAGACCACCACAACTAACCAACGACATCAAATCTGAATGAAATTCAAATCTCAAATAAATCAAATCAAAACAAACCTGGAAATCAAACCTTAAACTCAAATTTGAAAATCAGATCATAACCAATACCTTCAATCTATTGAAACCATCACACTTAACCACCACCACAACCGGTAGTCTACACCACTACTGGAAAATGGAGCACCACTGTCACCCCCCAGCCTCTAACCTCACATGTTGTATTGTGTTCATCACCATCCTTATAACAGTCGACACAATCAAGCTTTACACCAGTTGTCACCAACAGTCGACACCCGCATTCTCCTTGCGTCACCATATTCCAACACTCAGATCTAGATAGTGCATCAGTAATAAGAGAGCAGATTCCTTCCATATAAATCATCAAGTTCTGAAACCCTATTGAAGCATCAACTTCTGGAAATCCTATTGAAGCACTGGTAACAAAATCAGGGATGTTCATTTTCGTCTTCGGTGTGCTGGAGACTAAACTAAAGCATCAATTCTGAGACCATCGACTTTTGGGATTTTTATTGATTCAATTCCAGCGGGGATCGATTTGGGATTTTTCTGAAACCAAAACCTTCAAATATATTGAAACCATCATCTCTGGTATGAAATCGAGAAGGAGATAGGCGACAATGATGCAATAGGAACCTGCAAATCCGGTTCCGGCATGAGTGTCTCAGATAACTTCGAGTTAAGATGATGAAGGTTTCCATATCAGAATATGGAATTAGATGGTGGTCGGAGGTGACTTCAGGGCTGCCAGCGAATAGATTAGGCGTTGGTGGTGAGAGGTTCAAGGTTGCCGAAAAATACTTAAAAGAGATATCGAGGAGAGGGAGGTTGTTCAATCGGTGGAGAAGAAGATGAAAGGGTGAGAACGAGAGATCTGAATATGGGGAAAGGAATGGAATAGGTGGGTGGGTTGAATACTAATGGGGTGGATTAAGGGATGTATAGTGGATTTTGCACCTGTTGCATCCACGGACCCACAGGTAGTTATTGTTTGGTTAAGTAAGATTTCTTTTATTTATTAAGTAATGGTTTGGTTTTTTTAGGTTTGGGCTTCAGGGTTCTCTGCTGCTTTTCTGAAGAAAAACAGTATTACAGCAAAAAGATATAGAAATGAAGGTGACATCTCTGCCGAACCAGCAACGAGTGAATCGCCTCTATTGGTGGTTCTTGAGAAGTTCTTTGGCGTAGTTTTAAATCTACCATCAGTTAACCAGTAAGTTTGTTATCATTTTGTATGGTGGAATCAGGGAAGGAAGGAATAGAATGGTTCATTCCACCCAACCAAATATAACTTGACTTTACTTGTGTTTATTCAATTTACTTGTTTTCACATTTCAGGAGGCTTTCGAATGTACTAGTACACCTGAAATTCGGACAGCCAAGCTGCCCGCAGTTGTACATCTACAGTAGTGCGGACAAAGTGATTCCTGCAAGGTCAATGGAGAACAGGGTGCATGGTCAGGTCATGCAACTTTAAGTCAACACCACATGTTGACCATTTTAGGAATGAACCTGAGTTGTATGCTTCTCAGCTTTCACAGTTTCTCAAAGACTGTGTGCATACTTCTTAAAAAGTTGATGATGGTGTTTGACACCGACCTTCACTCTGACCTTGATTTTTTTTCCTATTCTTTGACATGATGATATATATGATTTAATTTTTAAAGTGGAATATATACACGAGGGACAATAAGTGTTGGGTTTTTAACACTTACCCTTTAACCATATCCTCTTACTGTAATCCGATTGTTACTGAATATAGATGAAATTACAATGCTACATAAACGACTCTGATAATGGTATCTGTAAAAATGTTGTCTCAAAGGGGAAACGAATACCACTACTAGTCTCAAACTTGAACCCATAGACCATTTCATGGTACAACATTTTAATGAATAATCTGATATTAATTCGAGCTTTATAAAAACAAACGGTTTGGCCTGTGAGTTTTCCTCATTGTAATTACGGGTCGAAAGCACCAAGGCCGGCCCATTGGATTAGATATCATGTTATGTGATATTATGTTATCATGCCGTAGTGATCTAATTATATCGGTATCCTGGTATATAGGATGATGTTATGCTTAGTGATCGGTAGATATGTTTGTGTAACACCCCATTTATTTATTAGATAAATAAATAAATTAATGAACGAGCGGTAGCCCTAAAATAAATAATTATATATCAAATGTTGGTATCGGGGAGTTAATTGTCACAATTTTAGAAGTCGGGGGTTAAAAATGTAAAATCCGGATTTAAATTGTAAGTATTATGGAAGGCAGGGACTAAATGGTAATTATTGGGACTTAAGTTGAAAAGAATCAGAGAATAAGGGACTAAAGATGTTAACATGGCTGAAGTTTATTCATTGGACCTAAATGGAAATAAATTTGGAATGTTGGGGGTTAAAAGGGTAATTATTGACTTGTTTTGAAACAAAAAGGGAAGGGAGGGGTTGTTTTAGCCTCCTTATCAATCAAACCTTAACCCTAAAACCCCCTCCCTTATGTGCAGTCGTCACCTTCCCCTTATGCCTCCCTCACCGGCCGCCACCCTACCCCCTTGCTTCTCCGACCACCGAGCCGCTGTTGTGCCACTCCGCAGAAGACGTCAACCACCGGATGCCGCCACAATTGTGACAACCGTCAAATTTTGGTCAAGTCAAAGTCAAATAAAGTCAACAAGTCAAACCGGTCAACTCTACTAACTCTTGTATACTATGGTTTACATTATGTAATTACTGTACAACTCGCTATTCTAATGAGAAATCATCAAATGAAAAGTTGTATATCTAGATTTCCTTAACCAAAAACTGTGGTAAGTAATGAACCAAAGCGATAAAACATTATTGCATACTCATCGGGAGCGTGTAAGATCCTTAAACATGGCTTAACGGGGTTTACAGACCTTGCGTTACGGAGCCAAACACTCAAAAGGGGCACAAAAGAAATCTCTCCCAAATCTCTCTCTGTATGAGAAATCTCTCCAAGAATGTGAAATTTCTCCCAAATCTCTCTCAGTATGAGAAATCTCTCCAAGAATGTTAAATCTCTCCCAAATCTCTCCAAGTATGTGAAATCTCTCCCAAATCTCTCCAAGAATGTTAAATCTCTCCCAAATCTCTCCAAGTATGTGAAATCTCTCCCAAATCTCTCTCAGTATGTGAAATCTCTCCAAGTATGTCAAATCTCTCCCAAATATCTCTCAAAACCTCTTTTGATCTTTTTGTAATCATTTGGGGCATCCCGACACTTGACTTGGTGAAAAACCCTTCGAAACGGGACGATGCCTTGGAAAATAGCCTTTTATGGCCGAAGTCCCCCTATAGGGGCCAAAACCCTCCTTGGACCGGAGTCTCCTTGAGCAGCCGTAGCCAGCAAGCCGCAGCCACCGACCGCAGCCACCTGGAGCACCGCATCCGAGACGCCTCCGGTCCTACCTGTCGAACCCGCCTGCGGTACCAGCTCGGACCGCAGCCCCTTCTCCCTTCGGATCCACTTCAGCGACCAAGACCGGAATCACCTCCTGACTTTGGATTTTGCGTTTTTCGCCCGGTTTTCAACCCCGACTCCGTTTTAAGCCCGTTTTTAATTATTTTGACGAGAGATTTTCACCCAAACTTATATTTTGATATATATAAGACCCCATATATTCATAAATTCAGCATATTTTTAGGGAAAACATTATTTAAGAATAAAATCTATTAATTAAGATCTTGTGGTGGAGTGTTGACTTTGCCTTAGTGTATGATACAAGCAACCACCCACACCCACTCCATGACCAGCCCACACCCCTCCCCACCATAGCTGGTCATTCAAGAGTACTTTCCCCACCATTTGACCAGCCATACTCTTGGTCAAGGCTGAAATCTATCATCTCTCCTAACACTTTCTCTCATTTCTCTCATTTTTT